TAATACACGGGGGCAATCGACCATCTTTTTGCTCAAACTTGATAATTACACTCCTCCTCAGTCATTACCACTGGATGGCATGGCTTATGCCTCACTTCGTTGAATAACGCGATTACACACGATCGGCATTTCACCCTAGCTGGGATAAGCAAGTGTTCTGATAGTCACGAAAATGATTACACACCATATAAAAACGGTCTACCATGGTATGCATTTCATTTCGCTCTAGCTTTTTAAGATGGTTTGCTTCTATTGGGCGGCTGTTCTTGCCTTCCTCTCAAGTGCAGGAGCTTTTAATGACAATCAGGAATCGACGATTGCAACAGAACGAGCACCTGCGCCACCACCACCGCTGCCACCACCTCCACCGCCACCGTCGCTAGATTCAGGTTCGTTTCGCCATTTGGCAACTAAGGTAACTGTAGGCATCATGTTACAGAGGACCTTCTGGACAAATTTGTCACGCTCTACACGGGGATGCCCTATAAAGATGTGGAGCCTTTACCAGCTGTAAGAAACTTTCCTTTTGCAAAAACGGGTGGCAGTGTACTGTATGTGCACGCTAAGGCACGCACCGCGAGCGGAAACCATCCATAGTGCACTTCAAAAATGAATTCAATTGCGCTAGCAGTTCAGTAGTGAAGGAAAGAAGGCAGAAGAAACCGTCAGAAATATCCTGAACGAGACATCGAGTGCATTCCAGACTTGTACGGACATAGACACAGGGATGGACGAGTGATTACAGTACAGTCTCATGCCTGCTTTCTAAGGTACTAGTTCGATTCCTACCGCGACGCAAACCATGCCTTGCAAAAATTGCAATTGATGACAAGCATTATACCCGGGTTGGCAGGCCGGCTGATGGAGAACTCCACCACAAGAATCATGTCTAAAAGCCGCAAAAGTATCAGTGTTAATGCTAGGACGTCACCCGGAAGTGGCGCGCAGAACCCTCGCCCGAGTTCTGTGGTCAGTATGCGAGGGCTACCGAGGGGTGAACGACCTCGGCCAAAGAAGCTAGTTCGAATTGGGACCCTGAACGTGGGGTCGCTTACCGGGAAGTCTCGTGAGGTTGCCGACCTCATGAGACGCAGGAATATCCAAGTCCTATGCCCTCAGGTGATGTGGTCATAGCGATAGCAGAATCCCTGAAGGACTGCGTATCCTCTGTGAACACTGATCAAATCCTCGGAGTGAGAACCAAGGTACAGCATCGTTGTGCGAAACCCATAGGGGGGGGGGTCGTACTTGGCCGCTGGGGAGGGGGGTCGTAATCTCAAGGGTCACTCAGAGCCGGGCAATGCTTCGACATTTCAGTTGATAGTGGGAGTGGAGCTATGGAAGTCAAGATGTTAAAAAAAGAAAATTATTATGAGTGTATTCTTTACAGATTTAACTGCTACGTTTAACAGCCCTCTTTTCATGCGAAATCCCCAGAAAGGGGATCGTACTTGGCCGCGGGGACGTGGGGAGTATCGCAAAAGTAGGCTCGCTAGGCATCAAACAGTACAGTAGTGTCATTGCTAAGTTT